TAAGTTCTTATGTATTTTATATATTCTCTTTTAAATATTAATTGTAGTTTTTATATGAAATTTATTAAATCTATATATTACATGATTTTTTTGTATAAATTTGCAATTTCTTTTTTATAGAAATGAGTTCCACGCAAAATGAAAAATGCAAGGGCAAACACTTCACATGGTCTAAGCCTATGTCACACATGTTACTTGAGATATTAGCTGAGGAGGCACTTAAAGGAAGCAAACCTTCTTCCACCTTTAAAGCATAATCTTTTGTTAAGGTAGCTATAGAAATTAGTCAAAAGTTCAACGTGCAATGCGAGCCTAAGCATGTGGACAATCATCTTAAGAGTGTGAAAAAAGAATGGGAAATAATAACCAAACTTAAAAATAAAAGTGGCTTTGGCTGGGATGATTGTTTGAAGATGATTACAGTGTCGAAAGATGTATATGATGAAGAAGTAAAGGTATGATAAATATTATACTCTTTGTAATTTTTATATTTACTTTTGTTTCTAAAATGTTATACAACGAACTAAAAAATGCATATTCTAAACTTTATGAACAGGCACATCCCAATCATGACAAGTATCTCAACAAAAAACTTGATATGTATGAGGCAATGACAATTGTTGTTGTAAAAGATATGACAACCGAAAATTATGCCAAATCATATGCTGATGTCAACTTGGAAGAGAATACTGAAGAGCAATCAATTTCGATTGAAAATGAAGGTGAATATGAAGAAACTTCTAAGGGACAAGAAACATCTTTCTCTAGTATACAAAAAAGGCAACATAGGAAGAGAAATCGCATGTATGAAGATGATGGTATTGAAAAGTTGTTTAAACAGATTGGAGATGTAGCATTTGCAATTTAAAGCCTCAACAAAAATCAACTTGATGTTAACACACTGTATACGGAAGTGATGAAAATTGAGGGCTTTGATAAGATCACTCTTGGGGATGCATTTGATCATTTGGTCCAAAATAAAATGTTGGCAAAAGCATTTATGGCAAAAAATGCTAATTTGAGAAAGATTTTGGGTTCAAAATTTTGTGAACCAACACTACTATAGGCCTGCTAGCTAAGATGGTTTGACTATGTTTTTAATTTGGGTTCAGACTATGTTTGATATTTGACAAGTAAGTTTACTTGTTTAATTTGGTCTAGCATGTTTATGTTTGTATTTTAAACTAATATATATGTATATGACATCGAAACTTAATATTTATGCATGACTATGTTTGATGTTAGATATTTATATTTATTTCTTGATGCTTATTTAATATAAATTAAAGGGATATTAAAGAGATTATTGCCTTTACCCGTAAACAAAAATATTTATCCAAAAAATCCGTCAAAATATTTTTATATGTATTTATCTTTTAAAAAATTCTTCATACAAAAAAAAAATCCCAAATATATAACTCTTACCATAAACTAATTTGGCTTTCTTCATATGAAAAAAAAAACTTATTTTAAGCTTTTAAAATTGAAAAAAATATATTAATAGGTTTTACTTAAAAAATATTTCTCAAGCTTATTTCTTTATAATACAATATGATATATATAGTTATATTTTATAAAATAAGCTATGTATGAACATAGGATATAATAAAAAAATTCATCATTATACTTTTTAGATTTCATTCTTTTATTGTAAATGATTAAATTTTTATATTAAATATTATATATATATATATATATATACATATATTAGATAAAATTTAAAAAAAATTAATTCATTAATAAATTATTTTTCGGTTAATTTTCCATAATATAAACAAACACTGGAAAGTGTTTTCCAGTTGATTTTCCATAACACTACCAAACATCGAAAAATACTTTTTTGGAGTTCACTTTCCAGGAATTTACTTTCTCTGGAATTCATTTTCCAAAAAAAAAAAAATAACTTTGCATAAAATAAATTAAATGATACCAAAAATCATATATTAGATAAACTTTAAAAAAATTAATTCATTAATAAATTATTTTTCGGTTAATTTTCCATAATATAAACAAACACTGGAAAGTGTTTTCCAGTTGATTTTCCATAACACTACCAAACATCGAAAAATACTTTTTTGGAGTTCACTTTCCAGGAATTTACTTTCTCTGGAATTCATTTTCCAAAAAAAAAAAAATAACTTTGCATAAAATAAATTAAATGATACCAAAAAATGTCATATTTATTGATCTTTGGTCGCCGCATGCCTCATCTAATTACAGCGACCCTCTCCTCACATGTTAGTGCATTTGTTATATGCATTGTCCGCTTTTCTTCTTCTTCTTCTTCTTCTTTTTTTTTCATTCAACTCAGTTCTTTAACACTTATTTTAGTTTTAAATTCACTCCCAGAGCTTAAATTGTTCAAAATCAATTAAATTTGATTTAATTTTGCTAAAGCGAGCATCAACCAATCACTGAATTCATTCCTTGACACCACAAGAATCTCATATAAAGCTAATGGTAGCAAATCAAGAAGTCCGAACTTAATGCAAGTGAGGTTCTGGCCTAGCGGTGGGAGAGGTTTGTCCCCTTCCTCCGCACTTGGGTTCGAATCTCACCATGCACGCCTGTCACCCCCGCGATGCCTTACCTGCTCACTGGGCTTGCAGGATGTTCAGTGAGCCGTGGGGATTAGTCGTGGTGCGTGTAAGCTGGCCCGGACACCTCACATAAATCAAAAAAAAAAAAGAAGAAGTCCGAACTTAAATCAATCCAACTTGAAAAGAACAAAATTGTAAAAGAACAAAAATAGTGGCATTATTACAATCCACACTAATTCTATGTTGGTATCGACGGTGAAACTCCAAGCAATTTTAGTCTCTCTGTAGTTGTAATAGTAATATTGACTCTTTAAATGCATTATCTCTATTTTATATATTAATGTAACTTTCCATTTTTATGTCACGCTCCTTAGTTTTTATTAGTTATTCGACTTTGTTATTAATTATATATATTTTTAGTATAAAAATTGAATATGTATGCTTTTTTAGTGTGTTTTACTACGTAAAAAAATTTAAATCTAAATTAAAAAATTTATATACACATCTAATTAAATAAATAAACAATCATATGTGCAAAATAAATAAAAAAATCATTGTCAAAAACTAAGAATAAAATTGAAAAAATCAAAAGATAGATTTGGATCAAGATATTTGGTTTTACAAGATATACTATTTTCTTTATTGTGTTTGTCAATTTATTTATTAAAATATTTTTTTTATTCAATCAAATAATAATAAAAACAAAAACATGAAATTGATTTAATAAAATAAAAGGGAAAATTATTATGCAAAGCTACACATGTTATAAATATAACATAATAAATAAATAAATAATTTTTTTTTAAAATAAAGTTCATCTATGCAAAATATATAAAAAAACCTTTAGATGAATAAGAATAATATATTCAGAAATTAAATACATGTAAAAAAATAGAGAAAACATCTATTAAAAAATGCTATACAAGCAAAATAAAAAATAATAGAGGTGGGATATTCATTGAAACATAAATCAAAAAATTATTTTAAAAAAGACATATTAATAGAAGGTGTCAATACTAGAATAAAAAAAAAAAGCTATGATAGTCTAGATGCCGCAAACATGTTTTTAAAAAATAACAAAAATAAACAACTCAGGTTATAGCCTCGATCGAGTTTAATAAATTGATTTTATTTTAATTAGACTATAAATTAATAGGTAACAATAATGAACATGCAATTATTTTAATAACAATAACTTGAAAAAAATAAACCTTTGGAAGTACAAAATTAGATAAATAAGGAAAAAAAACCTGGCTCGGTCAACTTGAGGTAACGTAATAGAAATGACACATGGGTAATAAATGGTGAGCTAACCTTTCATATTAACTTACAGAACTTGTAGTTAAAATTATGAGATTGGAATGACCTGATAAAAAATAAATTAAAAAAAATCACAAAGATATTATTAAAAAAATTAATATTAGATAATAAAATTAAAACAGAAAATATGCCAAAAAAATGTTAATCCATGTCAATTTTTTAAACATATGTCTTGATTCATTAGACTTAAAATTTTATATATGAAAAAAATATAAAACTCAATTCCTAACTAATAAAATTGTTAAAAGATGAAATCAAGAAAAACAATCAATTATAAAAAAATAAAACAAAAAGAAAAATAATTTTTTTCTAACTATTCAAGTATTAAATTTACTTTTTAATGATTACAAATTCAAATCATTTTCACTAAAAACTCAAAAGGTCATTAAATTTAAAGCTCAAAGATTCATATTAAAAAAAAAATTATGTTTTTTAAAAGAACAGAATGGTTGTGACCCTGTAGAAAGACTAATACCTCACAGCTGGCCATTATTTTTGTAGAGAGATACAAAATAGAAAAGAAATACTGTGTACATCCGTTATGTTTTTCCTACGTGGTTCTAGAATCTAGAGTTTCTTTTTAACTCTCAATACAGTTCCGCCGAAGTATTTCACAGCATAATTATCCACCCAAAATCCCACACATTGAATCTCTTGTTCCCCGTTGCTCACAAATAATTATATCAACTCAGAGAAAATGAAAGCGGGAGGATGAAAGAACAGAACATCACCTTCATGCTTCAAAATTCAAACCCTGTTTTCATCACAGTCTCGCATTTTTCTTGAACTTCAAATCAAAAAGATAATTTTTCATTTAAGAAATTATATTTCTAATAAAAAATACATTTCGTCAAAAAGAATTAATGGATAAGGAATGAAAGATCTGACTAGTGGAATACATTTTTTTCTCCTTAATTTAAATTATTAAATTCTTTATCTTAGTTGCTTTAAGTTTTAATTAAAAAACCCATGCCGCTGACAAAAAGAAATATCTTCCCTCCAATTATTTTTTTATTAAAAATTTAAATCCTTGATTAATTTCTTTTCAATATTTGTTTTAATTACCACAAATACCCCACATTTTTTGTGTTTAAAGGGATAGTTAATTAATTAAAACAGTAAAACTCATGGGTACATGGCAAATGTTTTCGGGGCACCACGAACCTCACTCCAACTTAACTAGTCTGAGTACTCTCCCTCTCCCTTTCTCTCCTGAAGAGTTTGCTAAAACCCTGCTTTCTAGGGTTTTTCCTTCCATTTTCAGCTTTAGCTCGAACTGAACTCATTTCCCTTTTCTTTTCTGCTCAGCAATTGCTTTCTAAGGAAAAAAACACCTCCACCATGCTTTGACTCGACCAGTAATCGAAGGATGAAGGTGCTGCGTTTTGCTGCGTTTTTGGTAGCTTTCACTACTCTCATGGTCGTCGGCAAAACGACGTCACATTTGAGCCCCGGACCTCACGTCACCGATGTCAATATTCTGTTGCCTCCTAAAATGACGCGTCCCGTCGAGTATCGCCTCCAAGGAAGTGATGGCTGCTTTAAATGGTAATTACTACCTCACACACACACACATATTATTTTTAGTGATTTTATTCTAAGTTGTTTTGATTGTGTAAATCTTGACAGGTCATGGGATCATCACGATATTCTGTCAGTTATACCTGAGTATAATTTAAGCTACAGCCACTGTTCAACCAGTGCACGGTTGATATCAATTGCTCCCTTTACCGGTCGGAAGGAGACAGCTATTTATGCTGCTGATGTACACACTGGCATTGTGATTCGCTGCAAGGTCTTTATTGACAATATTTCCAGAATCCAGATATTTCACAATTCTATAAAACTTGATTTAGATGGTCTTGCTACTCTCCGAGCTCGCGCCTTCGATCGTGAAGGTACCTTCGCCCCGGTATATTATTACTGTGATGATGATAGTTGGTAGTGATTGATCTTTATTCTCCCATGTTTGTTGCTTCTTGGTTTTCTGTTGGTTGCAGATAATGTGTTTTCGTCATTAGCTGGATTACAATTCATGTGGCAGCTGATGCCTGAAACGGATGGATTGCCGCACCACCTTGTCCATGTTCCTCTCAGGGATTCTCCGCTCAGTGATTGTGGTGGTTTATGTGGTGATTTGAACATCCAAATAGAACTTGAAGATAGTGTATGTCTACTGTTTGCTGCGTACCATAGTAAAATGAGTTAAATGATTGAGAATTATAATGCATGGTCTAATCTTTGTTACTCAGTGTTGTATTCGATGATTCATTGTGCAGGGTGTATTCTCGGATTTGTATGTTGTGAAAGGAGTTGAAATTGGCCATGAGAATGTTTCGGTGCATTTGCTTGAGCCACAATTTAAGCACTTGGCTGATAAGATTGTTCTAACTGTGGCAGAAGCCATGTCACTTGAACCTCCCTCACCTGTTTTGGTCCTCATTGGTGCTGCCTTTCGATATACGCTTAAAGTTATTCGTGGGAATATTCTGCAAGGTTTCTTTCTTGAATCCTTCCTTTTGCACTTGGCAGCAAAATTTTTGTTTGGTTCATTGTCAAGTTTGATGACCCTGCCTGAGAGAATTATGGCCATATAATATGTAATTCTTAATTTCTTTGCCAGTATTCACTTCTGATTCTATGATTGCTATAGCTTAAAACTGAATATAAGATTGCATCAGAAACAGGACAATTAAGGATTTGGCATCTTCTTTTGAGTAATGGATCAAATTTATTCGGTTCAGATTACCAGATCTTGCCACTTAGGTTGTAAACTGGATGATGTTCTTGCCTTGATCTCCAAAACTGATTCAAGTTTTTTATTAGATGATTGTTTGTATAGTGCTTGAAAGTTGCACGTGGGTGAATAATATTGAGGATGAATAGTGCAAACTAGTTTTGTTGAAGGCTAGTTTCAGTTGGAAATCATTTCCTGGGTTTCAAGTCAGAGCAAGATATCTATTGTTCAATTCTTGAGTTTTATGTGCATAGAAATGGCATCTTGGCATGCGGTATGTTGGTTGTCTTCCATGAACTGTGTTGGCCTCTTTAAGAGTTGCATGGGCTATGTGCATCTGGTTGCACTATCAGCTTTACTCTTAATTATGTAACTTCAATATCTGTTGGCATTTTGCAGTGGTTGCTCTTCCATCTCCACATCATAGGTGGTCTGTTTTGAACTCTTCGGTTGCTGAAGTGGACCACTTGTCAGGCTTTGCTCAGGCACTGAGCTTAGGGGTAACATCTGTCATTGTCGAAGATACCAGAGTTGCTGGCCATATGCAAGTTTCATCACTTAATGTGGTTCTACCTGACACTTTGTGCTTATATATAATGCCCTTGCCTGTTTCTGGTGATCCTGTTGATGGATTGAAAGCCATTCCATCCTTGGCACGTTGGTTTGTTGTTTCTGGTCGTCAATATATTATTCAAATGAAGGTTTTCTTGGGGGGACCTGATGCGCAAGAAATCTATATTACAGAGGTAAATCCTAAATTTGTCTGGGATCTTAAAATTAAATCAGTTATGGTGTATGTAGTGATTCATACTTGTAACTTGTTGGAATTCTTTTCATGGTTGTTTTCTCTTTGGTCAATATGGCTGGCTGTGGTACGTGACTGGTGGAGTCCTCTCGCCTCCCTTAACCAATTCCCCTCAGCTCTGCCCCAAAAGAAAATGAACCATATTGTGGCTGTGTATCATGGTTGGTTTTTGGACTTATTCTGGATATGAACTTATAGTTGTATGAATGAACAGCCCAAGTCGCTGCTAAAGATAGATCTCAGGCTGAAACTGTATTCATAAAGTACTTAAAGAAAAAAAAAAAGGATGATGTTTTGAACCCAGGACCTTGGCACTACTTGGATGGACCTTTATCTAGAGGCCAGGTGGCATCCACAAAGCATGGATTTTGGTTTGTTTTGGCCTCAGAATATGCAGTAACTTATGTGAATTCTTCACGCCATTTCTTTCCAATTTTAAGTTTTGATAGTATCTTGGAAGAAGTTGAATAATTCATTGTTCATATGGAAAAGCAATTTCGTAGGATTGTTCACAGCTGTTACCTCTTCGTTATTGTTGCAAGCGCAATGTGATACTGAAATGTTAAGGCGGTGAGTATCATCAATTATATAAGTGCATGCTGTGTATTTTAGCTGATTATTTCTCCCTTAAAAGTCTGCCTAAATAACTGCTTTTAATGTGATAGAAGAATAACTTCCTTTAAACCTTTTATCTTGTATTTTCTGGAATTACAAGAAGTGTCATAATGCTAGAGTAACTCTTCTAAAAAGAATGTCAAAATGTTTTTTGAAACTCATGTTCTTTTTTTACTCACTCTCTATGCTTACCAGATTTTGAATTCATGTGAATTTATCTTATTCTCTTGTATTTCCACTTTCCTGTTAATTCTTGAGTTTTCTAGTTGTGCTTGAAATTTTGCTGGTGGTTGTCTCTTCAGACTTCTTTGTTCTTGGGCATATCTTTTTTGCGGGCCAAATGTTCTGCTGGCACTTTCTCCTTGTTTTCTTGATTGTCATCCCTGAGAAGTTTGCTGCTTTTACAGAGTGATGACCTTAAGTTGCACCATGAGCAGTCTGAATACTGGACAATTTTCATGTTATCAGAGGATATTGTGGTCAAATATGGCTTGCGAAATTCCAGAATTCTGAGAGCAATTTCCCTTGGTCAAGGAAAACTAACAGCTTCTTTAACTTATTTTAGTGGGCTCTGGGAGAGAAAAAAGGTGAGGCTTTATAGTACTCTTTTGTGTGGTTCTGTAGCCTTTACTGAGCTGCTGTTTATATCTAGCTCTGCTCTCTTGTATAGGTTCTTAGTGCTGCGCAAGAAATTATGGTATGTGATCAAGTGAAGTTCAGTTTGGATGGAGCAAGTGGTACACATCAGACTATTCTTCTTCCCTGGACTCCTACTATTTACCAGGAGGTGGAGCTAAAGGCAACAGGAGGTTAATCACTTTCTATCTTTCAGTCTCAGTTATCAAGGTGTTTACTTTGCTTCCAAATATCTTGAGGGTAAATGAAAGCTGTTATTTTATGTAGGCTGTGCAAAAACATCCAGTGATTATAAATGGATTTCTTCAGACACGTCTACTGTGTCAATATCTCCATTTGGGGTACTTCAGGCAAAAAAGCCTGGTAAAGCAACTGTCAGAGTAGTGTCCATTTTTGATTCTTCTAATCATGACGAGGTAATAATATCATAGCCCTCATTTATTAAGGCATATACTTGAGGGGCACAAATCTTAAGCAGTGTTTTTAATTTTTATAATCTTCGTTATGAGTTTTGCTTTTAAAGATAGCGGATTTAGAGTTTCCTTGCACTTCCACAGGGTACATGATATGTTATGCCCTTGTTCTTTTCCAATCCTAGTGTAGCTCCAGCATTTCTCTTTTTGTTAGTGTTATATTTGTGTGTACATGATTTATGTAGTCCTTCCATCCAACAATGTCCAGAACAAAGGCACACATAGTAAACCCCTCCACCAAAGGCTGATACCTTAATGTTTATATTTGCATTGACATGACAAGTTACCCATTTTACCCTACCAACAATACTAGGCAATAATGGTAAGACCCAGCAAAAAAAATAGCATATTAATGTGGCTGACTTGTGTCATATTTCAGACCCTTCTCCTTCATCTACTGGCTTAATAAAATGGAACCTTTTTAAAAGACTATCACAAAAAATACTCTCAATTTCTTATCCATGTAAAATTTGAACCTTTGGGAAAAATATCAATAGGCAACAAATAAAAAGAAATGAAATTCTCACGGTAAAGGGAAAGTGAACAGCTAAGAAAGAGATGAAAAATGGAATCCCAGTGACGAGGGAAGAAGCAAATCTGAGCCACAATAGCAACAATGTAAAGAGAAATAGAAAAGAAGTAACATACCCTTAACTTGACTTTTTCTCATTGCCTCAGAGGAGAGAATTATAGAAAATGCACCACCCTTCATTTGCATCCTGTCCCTGAGCTGCACACCTATCACTTGGCACAACATTGAAGGCCTCGTAGCTAGGAGTAGTCACATTTTTTGCTTTGTAACTGGCATCTAATGTTACATTCAAGACCATGTTTGTTACCACTTGCACTTTATAGAAATTCCAATGAGAAGTTTTGGCAAGTCAAGCTGTTAGGCACCACCTTCAAATTTTAGCCCTTTCTCTGTCATCTTAGCTTTGTGGAAATCTAGCAGTTTTGCCCCACATACTAGAATCTCTAAGAAAGAAGGTAGGTTTCGATTAGGCAAACAGCTCAAGCTGCTCACCAAAAGATGAGCTTTCCTTGCTTCAGCACTTCTGCACAAATACACTATGACACCACTAGCATCAAACTTATAAAAAGTGGATTAGGGTAGAATTGGAGCTGAATCATGATGGTATTAAGTCTGATGGAAGCCTAGTGTTTCCAGTTGCAACATAAAGGAATCAATTTGGTTCTTATTTTATTATCAAATAAAATGAGACCTATTTGAAAGATTACCCCAAATCATAAGCTAAATAAAAATATGAGGAAGTGCTTTCTCTTATAATTTTTGTATAGAAGCAGTCATGTCAGAGTTCTAATTTTTTTTCTTGCAAATCTTTTAAGTGAGTGCCATCATGCTTGCTTTGTGCTGCTTGGATGGCAAAACAAGTCAACCTGTCATTTCAGTGGCAAACAGATAGGATGGTTCAACAAACTCCAATGGAGGAGTTTGTCCATGTGCATCTGCTAACTGTGGTGGTGAACTATTTTAATCGTGGAAGTACATGTACAAGAATTACCTTAGCTAACATGCACATCCAACAATTTATTCCTAGTTGCTCAAAGTATAGTGTGAAGTTGAAGCCTTGCAATATCTAATTAGGTTTTTTTTTTTGTAATATACATTGAATTGCTCCTATTATCAGTACAATGCTGTGCCTTGAACTCTATTTTCAATATGTGATGCAGTATACAGTGTCTGTCCTCTGCTCTCCTCTCACTTGTTTGTATTTTATTTTGGGTGCTTTGGCATGGGCCATCGGCACCTGCATATTATCATTAATGCGGCTGGAGGTGTACTCATAGCGAATTCCCAACATTTTTTCTTTCTTTCTTCTGCTTTTGAATTTAATTTATTTGTTTTATTTATTGATCTTGTCCTGTTTAAGAGGCGCAAAGGCACATGGATTAAAGATTATATATTTCTTTCTCAAAGCCTCAAAACCTGCGTGTTTGTTTGAAACCTGTCTCTTTCTTGTCATGACCATGTCAATATGGAAACTCTAGTCAATCTCTTCAAGTCAGTAATAATGCAGCAATATCTGGATATGCAGGATTTTGATGAACAATGTTCAAGCAGGAAATCTTGTTATCTGGATTGCTTCCTTGTGCTCCCTTGATTAATTTCATCTATATGAACTAATGTATCCTTTTCTTGTAAAAGGTGGTCATTGAAGTTTCTGTGCCATCATCTATGATTATGCTTCAAAACTTCCCTGTAGAGACTGTTGTAAGATCACATCTTCCAGCTGCCGTAACAATGAAAGCATCAGATGGTGAAGCCCTTTCTCAAAATCATCAGTAATGTGCTTTTGGTTATAAATGTTTTCACTTTCATGTTCTTTTGTTCAACTCAATTTCATTTTTGCAGGTTCCTATTATTATAGATGTGATGCTTTTCATCTATTCGTAAAATGGAAAGTTGGAAGTGAGTCTTTCGTCATTGCCAATGCAACAGAGGAGGCACTTATTGCAGATAAACTGGGGGCTTTTCACCTCCATGAATCAGTTTATGGTCCACCATGTTCATGGGCCTATATATATGCTTCCGGTCCTGGGCAGACCATGCTGCAGGCAACATTGTCGAAAGAACATCACTTGGATCAATCGTTTCATGGATCCATTATTTTGAAGGCATCATCACGTATTGCAGCATATCCACCACTTACAGTGCATCAGGTAGTAGATGGAAGCCAATTTGGTGGGTATTGGCTTGATTTGGGTCATGTTGAAGCAAGCAATCACCTGGAGCCTTTGAAGAGCTTGTATCTTGTCCCTGGAACAAGTTTAGATATCATGCTTCTTGGTGGACCAGCACCATGGGACAAAGATGTTGACTATCTTGAAACTGTGGAAATATCAGGTGACAAGCATGCTTCCAGTAAAGATGGAATTCATGTACGTCAGATTTCTGGCAGCTATCAGAGTATGTACAGAGTTTCATGCCAAACTCTGGGGATATTTGTAAGTTATATATTGTGTTTTGGAGCTATAGACTATTGTAGTTCTTTCTGTCGAAAGCATTTGTATTGTGCTCTATTTACTACAAAAGTCATAACATTTATCTGTCTGTTTGATATGACTCAGGATTTGGTTTTCAAACGCGGGAATTTGGTTGGAGATGACCACTCTCTGCCTGCAATAGCAGAAGTTGCTTTGTCTCTTACATGCAGCTTTCCATCTTCAATTGCACTTATCGTTGATGAACCTGGTGAATATTTAAATTTTTCATCCCAGACATGAATGACAATAAATTATAATTTTATTTTGACTTACCTTGCATGCAATTGGCTGAATTTGTGGCACTCTTCAGTTAACATACATCCCCATCTAGTTTGGTATTGAGGCTTGGTTGTTGTTGTTCAGTTAACAGACATGATGCCATAAGGCTCGCATCTCTTGCTGACCGTAGCACAGGACAAATCCGCACCACCCCTGTTACTGTGGCAAATGGGCAAACCATTAGGGTGGCTGCAGTTGGCATAGGTGTTTCTGGAGAAGCTTTTGCAAACTCATCTTCTCTTTCTCTGAGGTGGGAGTTGAGCAGCTGTGAAGGACTGGCATATTGGTGGGCTGATGCTTATGAGTCGCAGAGATTGAAATCCAGCTGGGAGAGGTTCTTAGTCTTGCAAAATGAATCAGGACAAGTACTGCCAGAACTTGCTTTTTTTTTTTTTTTTTGTATTTCATGTATTTGTCTCACATTCTATATGCCTCCTTGCTTTTCTTAAATTGTTCTGAGATTTATTTAAGGAATTTTTTTATTTAAGAAAGAAACTCTATTGCTGAATAAGAATTTTTCAAAGGTATCTTCATGAACAAATATGCACATGCACACCCCCAACACCCCACATACACTCAATATTCACATGCTCATACATGCATGAAAGGCAAATAGTCTGGTAAGTTTCATAAGGAGCAAGTATTCCCAATATTTGCCAGTTCTGTAAATATGTGAATTACACATCCTCCTAAAATAATGAAAATTCAATATCAATGTTCCCTTTTTATTTATGAAAATTTTAATCTGAGGTGTTGAATATTTGTTTTCAGTGTATTGTTCGTGCCACTGTTATTGGTCTTGATGATGCCCTCGGTAGTCATTATCTGGCTCAGTTGCGAAGTCTAGAGAATGTTCTTACAGATGCTGTAAAGTTGCAGGTATGCTCGTGTTATTTTACATCGAATTTCAGATGATAGTTTATTAAGTTGGGTTCATGTTATGCTGCCATGTGTTTTTTCTATACCTTCTGTTCATATTGATCAATTATTGCTGTCTTAAGTTTGACTTGTCTAAATTTGTACAAATATGCAGCTTGTTTCTTCTTTGAGAGTGAATCCAGAGTTCAACTTGTTGTATTTCAATCCCAATGCTAAGGTAGATTCCAGTGCCATACTAATAATTGCGTGTCACCTGCTTTTTTTAATAAATATGCACTACTAGTTTCTTTTGAGCTTATTTAATGACATTTAATGACTCGTGTGTGACTTCATGAAATTTCTACTTCTTCCAAGGGAGGAAGTCATCATGTTTTGCACATGCAGGGCATCTTTATCATTTTATTGCTTGTTTTGCTAGTTTTACATCAGCAGACAACAGACAACTTTATTGTTTGTTTGCAGGTTACATTCTTGTCATGCTAATAAAAAACTGTCACTCAAATAAACGAATTATTGATACTTTTATATGACAGGATTGGTGTTTAGTTAATTGCAAACTGAGAGAGAATGATGGCTTGAGAAATTGAATCACATACAAAGAACACTTGGTAGTTTGTTTCTTGTGAAATGAAGAAGTTCACAACCTCGCTGATTGATGTTTTTGTAACTTTTCTGAGTCAACAAAGGAGAAAGGAAGAGTTATCTTCCTGTGCAATATAGATGCTCAATGCTCCTTTCCAACTAAACATTTTCAATTTTTTCCTTGCCTCATGTTGCATGTGTCAAGCTGCACCTGTGCATTTTGACATCAAATTTTGTGTATCAAGGACAATTCAAAAGTGAACTCTCATAATGAAAGTTGACATATTGATTAACATATATCTGCAACAATGGTTGGAAAAGCTTCAAGAGAGAGTCACCCCTGATTAAAAACCCAATTTCTGCCTACCGAGTTGATTTTTCATCAGATTATGGGAGATAATATTTTTCTCTCAGCAATGTTATCTGTATCGTTTTCTTTTATGTGGATTGTGTTTGTCGTATTGAAAGCACATTTGTGATTAAATATGATCTTGCTAAATGCGAAGGGCTTCTTGTCCAAAAAACTCCTTTGATGTGCTGCTCCAGTCATTTTCTTTGAAATTCTTTTTTGCTATTTATGATAACTGTTGTTTTGGATAGGATAAATGATGTTTAATGTCCTTTTGTGAGTCCACACTACTTGTGCAATTTTTGATTTGTACCATCAACTACTGCATTTAATAGGTATGTTCAAACTTCACTCTCATTGATTTGGTCCATACTACTTGTGGAATTTTAGATTTGTACCATCAACTATTGCTTTTGATAGGCATGTTCAAATTTCAGTCTCATTGATTTGGTTCCAAATGCTTAAGGCATAGAATGTTACTTAAGTATTGTTCCATATTGAGGTGGATTTAGTTTATGATCGAGCCAGATGGCACAAAAATTGCATGCTTCAACTAGTTTGGATTTGAGTCTTAGCTGCTGCTGCTGCTATATGATCCCTTAATCATTAATTTCAGGCTTCCACATCTTACACACGCATTTTTTCTATTTAGGTAAATCTTTCAATTGCTGGAGGGAGCTGTTTATGGGAAGCTGTTGTGAATGATTCTCAAGTGGTAGAAGTTGCTCAGCCCCCACCAGGCTTACAATGCTTTCAGTTGAGGCTCCTTCCTAAAATGTTGGGGACTGCACTTGTGTCAATATCTGATATTGGGCTTATTCCTCCTACTTCAGCTTCTGCTGTGGTAATTTGTTTCATCTATTATCTTACTATATTCAAGTAAAATTTCTCAGTTTTACAAAATTGCCACTGACATTGATTAAATTTTTATTTTCTAAAGATACAGAAAGCTAGTTGACTATGTAAATGGTGTGTTTGGGGTGCATTTGTAGTGTTTTTGCCAAGACAGGTGCTTTAAAATGGGTTTGAATTATCCATATCAAACCAACAAAAAGCATCAATTTGATGATATTTCAACCCAAGATCACTTTGGAAATGCATTGCCAAACATACAATAGACAAATCACAGAAGTTGTTAGAGAAAAAGAGGCTCTGGTGGAAAGAGAAATTTTCCTCAAGCATACTGGTGAAACTTGAGAAATTGCTACTGTCATCAAATTAAGCAAAGTGCTAAGAAATTCCACCTTTCCTTACAAAAAAAATGAGATTTTCTTATGCTACAAAGCAAAATCAATCAATCCATCCTCTCCCCTGGAATGTGCATTCTTTTCTTCAAAGCATACTTCATGCTCTATCATGGCATTGTTATTCTCTTCGATTTTTATTTTTCACCAATTAAATAAGATTAAATGCCTAGATCTAGATGTTATTTTGATGTAATGCAACAGTCGTTTTCAATGGTAACTGTTTACTTTATGAAGTGTTGCTATTGCAAAATGTCTGCCAATACATGTTAGTTGTTAAATACTAACATAAATGCAAGGATGGTGATGCACAGATGCATATAATCAGTTTAATAAGACTAACTTCCCTATTTCCAAAATAGGTTTTTTGAACAGCGGATCTATTTTTTATATGCAAGGATAGTAATGCATATATGAATCTAATTTCTACATCATTCAGAAAACATTAATTGTTGTTCCCTGAGGAATTTTTTGTGCCCCTTAGTCATACATGCTCCATATCAGCACATCAATTTAACTAATATCTTGTTTGTACTGTGCTATTATCCCTTGGACTTTAAACTCTCAGTTGCTTTCACTTCTTTTCTCCTTCAGCTAAATACATGTGATAATAATATTGCCTTTATTCTTGTATTTTATTTTCTATTTCACTCATGGAGTGTTTCATGGAAGTATTGCAGGTTCAAGTGGCTGATGTGGACTGGATTAAAATAGTATCAGGAGAACAAATAAGTCTCATGGTGCGTTTTATGGTGTCTGGTTGACTCACAAACACACACACAAGTATTGTTGTAATATTCATTTCTTATCTTAATAATTTCAGGAAGGACAGTCACAGCCCATACATTTAATGGCGGGGATTAAGGATGGGAATTCTTTTGACTCTAATCAGGTTTGGATTGATCTGATTAATGCTATTTGGGGTGCTAGTAGTATTCCAGTTCTGGCCCCTGCTTTAACTGGACCTAGTTGTAAATGTATTTGATATTTGCGTGGCCATGCATTTGGAAAGATAGACTGCTTTACAAATTTTCGTAACCTAGTTCATCTCTCCTGTTTGATCTTTTTGTTTCTTAGCGGGACATCTCATGCTCTCTTATCCTCCATTTTGTATTATGTTATTTACTCAATTGTAAAATTCTGTGTAGAAAAGGACAGTCTGTGTTTGTCTGGCCCTGCAAACACTAGCATATGCCAAGTTACACTTGTGTGGTAATTGTTTTAATCCTCAAAATCTTGATGTTTGTGAGCATTTGGTGCAGTATGCGTACATGAAAATTCATGTGCACATCGAGGATCCTATAGTTGAACTTGTTGAGAAGAATGGTATGCCTAGTGATGCCGGTGGATATGTTAATGCTCCAAACTTTACGATCAATGCCAAAGATCTTGGATTCACAACACTTTATGTGAGTTCCTGGTTTGATGTCGTGCCTTTTATATTCAAATGCATGTTTATTAATTTTTCTTTGTGTTTTGTTGTCAGAGAACACAGACACACACACTCTTTTTTCCCTTTGTTATTTTGTCATGTTTATTGATTCAAAGTTTCAGACTATGCAAGTTTATGGGTAAATCTTGGAATCAGGTTAGTGTTAGACAGCAATCTGGACATGAAATATTGAGTCAATCAATAAAGATAGAAGTATATGCACCACTGAGAATTCATCCAGATGATATTTTCCTGGTACCAGGTGCTTGTTACATGGTATGACCCACAATCTTGTGCCTATCCTAAAATGCATTGAAATATGTCCTATCTGAGTTTTGATTTATTGTTCTTGTTTATGTTTCTCATGTATTCTACAACACTTTTTATTGCTTAGCTTGCTATGAAAGGGGGCCCAACAGTTGGCGTATATATTCAGTATGCTTCAATGGATGATGGAATAGCAACAGTGGACAAATCTTCAGGACGACTTTGTGCAATTTCTCCTGGAAACACTGTAAGACCCAGCTGCTCACCTCTTGTAGCAATTTTCATGTATTGACTCTGAAATGTAACATGGATTAAATTAAGACTTGGATGAGTTGAGTATCTTGCAAGGCTATTATTTTATGTCCTCGGTGTTGTAGAATTTATATCATTTGTCATATATATGATCTTCAATGTCTGCATGAAAATGAATCCTGATTGACTGGGTTTCTCCTGAATGAATTCTTGTCATTTCCCTGTCATGCTATGTATTCACGTGTGCATGTGTGGACATTTGATAGTTGACAAGCAGTTCACTATTTTGCATGGACCCGTAATCATTCTGAAATAAATGAATTCATGAGGACTATTTTTCTACCAGAGGATATCAATGAGTAACACAATGAACTCTGCTTGTATGCTTTGAGAAGTTGAGTTTAGAGTGTGCTCCTGTATGGTTACCTATTTTTGTTTCCTATCATAACTTCAGTTGGAGCTTTTGGAAATTAATAGTTTTTACATGCATTTTTATCATTTTGAATTTCATATGGACTAAGATCAGGCTGGATAGTTCTATTTCCCCTGGTCCCTATTGAGCCACATGATTCATGTCCAATGTGAGTCCAAGTCAGGAAGATGTTGTCTCCTTATTCTTTATGTAATATGCTTTCACATATTTGCATCTGTTTTTGTGAACAGACAATCCTTTCCTCGGTGTTTGGGAATGGAGGTGTTGTGGTATGTCAAGCAAATGGTAGCATTTATGTTGGAGTTCCTTCTTTGTCAATGTTGAGTGCACAAAGCGATAAGCTTGATGTTGGCCGTGAGATGCCGATATATCCATCATTTCCTGAGGTGAAATTTTAAAGTCAAAAGTATTCTTTATTAATTTATGTATCAGTTCTTGGAATATGACTGGCTCACTTGTATTGTTAGGGTGATTTATTCTCATTTTATGAGCTCTGCAGAAGTTACAAGTGGACCATAGATGATGAAAAGGTTAGGAGGAATATATTTCTCATAATTACTGTTTCAGATTTCTTTTCTTCTCATATGCCTGGTGATAGTAATTAGTTGTCTACTGATTAAATTTAGGTATTGAGTTTCAACATGGCAGAAAGCTCAAATGTTGAAAAGCACTGGTTCCCATTGGATGATGAGCTGGAACTTGATTTTATTAAAGTCTTACATGGAAGGTTTGTTTTCCTAAATATTTTGACATGAACTAATAAAGCAAGGCTTCTTCTGTTATGCATTTATAAAAAGCAAGGCTTCTTCTGTTATGCATTTATGACTTTTCATTTTTTTCTCAGATGTCTTAAATTTAAACCCAACTTTCTTCTTATTTTTTTTCCTTTTCTGCCCCTGTGGTCTATCTTTGATCCTCCCCATGAACTTGGCCTCTCCCTCTGACCTGATTATTAAATTTACTACTTGGGACAAAAGAAAAAACAACAACTGAGATTTATAAATTTCATCAGATGATTAAAGTATCTACCTAATTCTTGATGATTTGTTATCTGATGAAAGTGTATCAGGCCCAACGATGGATGGATCCAAAATTTCCGTTCTAATGTTGTATAGTCAATGTCCGCTGACTGTACATGGCCCTTTTCTTTTGGATTTATACTTTTCATTACCAGGCTTGAAACAGTTCTTGAGACTCTTTTATTCATCTCTTCCTAAAGATAACTGGGAATTTTGAAGTATAATTAGTAGATGAGGTAAACTATTTTAGGTGTGCCCTTGTTCAAGGAAATATTGTGCCTCCTTTTCTCTCTAGTCCTCATGTTGAATTTCTTGATGGACCTAGATGCAAGTTTTGGAATATTTTGCCCTTGGTTCCTTGTGATAAGCAGCTTTAGCAGTATCATTGATGGACCAGGTCCTTCTGATTGCTTCTGGTCATCTTTCTTCCTTCTTCAGCAAAGGATTGTTCTTGGAGGTTGGGCTATAACAAATTAACTTGGTTTTACATCACTACTTTGGATTAGAGAAGACCAAGTAGTTCGTCACTGTTTGATTGTATCTATTGTGAAATTTGACCCTAAGCAAAGTTACTTTTTGTCACTGCATCTGGATATTAAGTACAGGTTCTAGGAGTCTGCAAATTATTCTGTTATCACAGAGAGTTGGTCTTTCATGGGATCATGGCATGATTTATGACTCCTAGGCATAAGTGTCTAGTGCTTATTTGCTGTAAGATTTAATGTAAACTTCCTTAGAAAGCATAATTATAGTAAAATTTTGATTTTAATTGTGAATATAGTTTTCTTGTAAGTACTTTGAATCTTTCCTACATTAAGTGCCATAAGTCTGCATTTTCATTTTCCAAGTAATCCAATTTGTCTCATGAGCAATCATGGCTGCATTCCAGATCTGCAGGCAAGGCAAATATCACAGTTACATTCTCTTGTGATTTCGTTTCCACTTCGTTCTCACAGTCGAGGCTATATGATGCTTCTTTATCACTATTGGTTGTGCCTCCTCTCCCTCTTGCTCTTGGAGTTCCAATGACATGGCTTCTTCCTCCTCATTATGTTACATCTAGCCTTTTGCCTTCATCTTTGGAATCGCATGGTCAGCAAGATGCTCAGAGTCGTAGAGGAACAATTATCTATTCGTTATTAAGTTGTGAAAAGAATGAAGTTTGGAAAAAAAATGCAATTTCTATAGATGGAGATAGAATAAAAACAACTGAGAGTAACAATCTTGCATGCATACAAGCCAAAGATCGAACCACTGGAAGAACTGAGATTGCATCTTGTGTCAAGGTCGCTGAGGTATTAGTCTTTCTTCTTCAGCATTACTTTTTTTAATCTGGTCTTTTTGAACGTCTATTTATTTAAATGTTATATGATTTTGATTATCCACACCTAGTATTCTAAATTTTCACCATTAAGCTCAACTCTATGAAGTAACAGGTCATATAACATGATTTTGGTGCTTGGTTGAGAACATCGTCTTATCATTTTCTAACAGTGGTAGCTTTTTGCAGTCTAAACAGTCAATAGATTTGTCTAACAACTTTGCATGACACAGCAATGCAGCTGAGAGAATCAAGCTGTCTTGAATATTTCCTTAGTACTTGACAGAAACCCAGACTAGAAATAAACACCTCTTATAATGCATCCTTGTGCACTGCTAACAGTGATCAATGTGACTTTGAGAATTTTAACATGCTGCTCACAATTTTTGTCAAATGCTGGGACTCCGTTGTGTTGCCAAAATATGGAATGTGAATGGTGAATCCTTCCATATTTTATTGCTTTGTTTCAGCATTGCAGTTACTTTTCATTTTATATATGAAGACCTTGGCATCTATGTTTCTGACACTGGTTGATACTGGGCATTTTCATTAGGTGGCTCAAATAAGAATAATGAATAGGGACCCCCCTTTCCATGTAATTTATCTTGCTGTTGGTGCCAACCTTGATCTTCCAATAAGCTATTTTGATGCTTCAGGTATTGATGACCAAATTATACATCTCACATTTTACTGACAACTTATATTTTACATATAAACTTCTTATCTTGTAAATTTTCTTCACCAGGGAATCCCTTTTATGAAGCATATGACGTCATTTCCTATCATGCTGAAACCAACTATCATGAAATTGTCTCCGTTGTACATACAAGAAATGGCAATGGGACTATCCATCTGAAGGTCTGTTGACGAACTTAACAGATATGTTAATTGTTAACTATCAACAATCTGCAAGGGCTAAATATGGCTTGGACTTGTATTGCTTTCAATTGTTAATTCATGCTCTTCATCATACAAACTCCATAAGCTTGTAGGATTGTCAATTGTTAATTCATGCTCTTCATCATACTCCCTAAGCTTGTAGGATTACCATTCTTTCTCTTCATGTGCGTTCTTTTGGCATCTGTTAAATTTCTGCCTGCCAGTGCCTTATGTATGACAATTCTTGTATTAATTTCTGGTTGAAGGCAATGCAAACTGGTAGAGCTCTGGTGCGAGTATCAATGAACAGTAATCCACAAAAGTTTGACTATATACTGGTAACTATTGGCCTCCTTGTCAACTCCAGAACCATCTCCACTCTATAAGTAATTGGTTGCTGTCTAGCTGTGGCTGTTCTATTTTCATTCATCAAATATTGAAAATTGTTGTCTTTATTGGGAAACAGAGAAAGAATTTGCATTAAGCGCTTGCTTATTTTTACAGATTTTTCTGAAGCAGTATATTCTTCTGTGAAAAAAGAATCAGTCTATTTTCCTTCTTCTTTCTTCTGTGAAGCACCATATGTTAATGAAAAAAACTTTCCCCTCTTTCCCCCCCTTTTTTTAATGTGAAGAGGAGCATCTTCTTAAAGGTGATAATTAATTTTGTGTCTTATGACCTTATGGGACCAACTGAATGGTCATCAGCCACAAATTTGGAGATGAAAAATTAATGTTTTGTGAGTACAATACTTGGAGCAGGTAGCTCAGCTTCGGACCATTATCATTTCTGGTGACCACTCTATTCAAGATTTACTGTTGCAGTAGAGTCACCTGAATCTTTCATTTGTCAGGTTTCAGTTGGTGCTCACATATATCCCCAAAACCCTGTCCTTCAACATGGGAGTTCTCTTAACCTCAGTGTAATAGGTGAGCCTACAGTCCATTCTCTGGATTTTCCTTCTGAAAATGCATTTCCAAGTATCTATCGTTGTGTTTGAGGGCAAACTACAGTCCATTCTCTGGATTTTCCTTCTGTTTTTTTTTCCTTCATTGTGTTTGAGGGCAAGACTTCTTTTCATCATTTACTCCTCTTGGTGATAAATTAACGATTTCTTTCTGTGGTAGGCATTAATGATCAAGTTTCTGGCTGCTGGCATAGTGCTGATGAAAGAGTTGTTTCTGTAGACATGCGATCTGGAAAAATTGAAGCATGTGGAATAGGTTCAACCCATGGTATGGAAGAAATAGCTCTTCATAATGTTAAATCTGTAGTTTTGCCTAATGTGATAGCTATGATTTTTCATAATTGGAACTTCTTGTTTATGAACAGTATTTTTTGAATGCCCAAGCATGAAATTGCAAACAGAAATTACAGTGCTATCAGGAGATATTGTTTCTATTCATGCCCCAAAAGAGATCCTAACAAACATTCCTTACCCAGCAAAAGGATATAGCTTCCCTTTGAGCTTAAGGTTTGTAATCGAGAGTATCTTATATTGAAGTTGATATATTATTGCTCTTCTTTTTTTAAGTGACTGCTGTAGAATTTAAATTGATATTTTAATATTTTGAATTAGTAGCATGTGATATTTTGAATTAGTTCTCATCTTGAATCTTTGATAATGCATTTGCTATGCATGTTGTTTTGTGAAATTTAATGCATTTAAACCACAGTTGATGGTCACATCTTTAATACGAACTCCAAATAGAACCATCATAGATCCCTATACAAATCTGACAGATTGAAGTAATTGATTTGACTTTTTTCTGGATTATATTTTGTTGTTCGAACATAGTTCATGACAAAATTTAGATTCTGGAACATGCTTTTTAGATCGGGTGATATTAGCAAACCTTCACTGTTAGCAATCATATAAAATCTATTAGAAAGTTATTTAAATCAAACTATTGTTATATTCTGTTGCTCTAGCTTCTTTTCAGGAATAAAGAAAATGGGATCCTAACAAAATACTCTGGTCATTAAAACCAATCAATTTAATTTGCATCTGCAGCTACAATAACATTTGTTTTTGCTTTTTAGCCTCCATAATTGGTTTGCACATAAATATCGGGTTGCTTAAGTCCACTGTACATTGGCATTAATATTTGTGCTGTATTGGAACAGTGATACTTACAATAAGCTTGAAACTCTTGGAAACGGTAAGGGAGTATCATACAACTGCAAGGTTGATCCTCCTTTTGTGGGGTATGTGTCTGACTATTCTTGTTATGTTCATCTTATAAACAGATATTTGCAACTTTTGATTTGCTCACTCTATTTACTGAAGGTATGCAAAGCCATGGATGGATCTTGAATCTGGGAATTCCTATTGCCTGTTCTTCCCATATTCACCAGAGCACTTGGTGCATTCTGTACCCAGGTTGAAGGACATGAGACCGTATGTATCTATTTCTATAAACGTATCACTCAGAGAAGCCAGCCATGTCTCTGGATCTGCATCAGCAATTTTTATTGGAGGGTTTTCAATATTAGAAATGGACAAGGTAATTGATCTGATGTCTTAGTTGAACATTTTTTGCTACTTGAAGGGAATGACAGCAATCTGCAATTTGTTTATTTGGGAAACAATGGATGTATTTTTTCCTCTTCACCGAGTGTGTTTGCAGTAGTGCTAGGTCTGGCCATCAGCTCTTGTTAAGTTCCATTTACTTGTATTTCTATTATAGCAAGACTTTCTTTCTCTAGATTTCACTAAGCTTTTCTTCCATAAAATATAATCAACCTCAAAATCAGGTCATATATATGATTTCAAAACAATATATAAAATGTGTACATGCTGTCAATGTTTTCATTACAGAGTTCAATGCAACTGAACCTGACACCAGATTCCAACAAGACTACTATAACCATCTTGGGAAATACAGGTAAATAAAAGCCTACTTCCTCTGTTTCTCTCTCTGCCTCGTCTGTATTAGGATTTTCTTTTATTATGGTCCAAGTTGATGATAGAGTGCCATCTCACTACTCACAAACCCAACTTATCACTTTCATTTGGAACTAAAAATCAACCCTTCTTTCAGTTGGGTGGTAGTCTCTTTCTATACCTTGTAATCCAATGGTATTCCTTTATAGTAGGTGTTCATGCAAGCACATGCTGATAATTGCCTTGCTGTATAAGTGGTTTGATTATAAAATATTTACACCAAACTTGCCACATGTTTGGCCGCAATCCAAGTTACAGTACCATTCAAAGATGTCATCACCTCTAACCTCACTTTCCCAAGTCTAAATGGTCACACCATCTTTTCTGAGCTATTAGCTATATGATTACTGCCATCTGGTTTGCTTCTTTCTGGCTTACATAGGATTTTGGAGCGTTAAAAGGAGTGGTGCTGCGGTAGATGTGTTAAGATTTTGTGAATAACTAAATTACATCTCAACTGTCCACCTGACACAATAAAATTTATTGCAAAGATGAAATTGGTTCTCTCATTGTAGATGTTGAAATCCACTGGCTTGATCGGGATTCAATGAAGATTGGTCTTGTCCACAAGGAAGATTTTGGGATAGGTGGCCGTGCACAATATGAGGTGAGCTGTTTTTTTTTTTTTTTCTGGCTCAGTATGTGAGAATTTAACAGTTGCAAATGAAATAGGCTTTGCATCATCCAAGATTCCAAGGGATTGTGCCCAAACTGTGGAATAGTTTCGGATGTGTTTCAAAGCCATGAAGAATAGAATGAACTGATTTCAAATGACGCGGGGAGCACATAAGCGTGTATAATTTTTTTTTTTAACTGTTCATTATAATGGTTGATTCTAGCTGCTTTCAACATCTCCAGGTCGAAGTGCTGAGAGCCAAAAGATTGGAAGATAGAATCACCATCACTCTCCCAGCCAATGGTGAGCTTACATAGCCTTTGAATACTCACAAAAGAGGATGGTGTCTTTAGCTGCTAAGATGATGTAATCTTGTTTTTCTGTATACAGGTCAGAGAATGGAAATACACGTTACTTATGAACCTGATGCAAAAACGGAGGCAAAAACTAGCTTTGCAACCTTCATTGGGCTACTATTAGCTGGATGTGTGATCCTTTATGTAATTTATCTAGGCTGTTCCTTGCTTATCTCTGGGATATCCAGCATAAATGTGCCCTCCACCACCCCTGCCACTCCACCTAGTGCAGCACCACAGACACCTGCTCGTGGCAGTCCTGTCTTGACTGAGCAGTCACCTCGAACACCTCAGCCATTTGTAGATTATGTAAGGAAGACAATAGATGAAACTCCCTACTACAAGCGAGATGTTAGGAGGAGGTCTCATCCACAGAATACTTACTAGACTCCTCTCTCTCTCTCTCTGTGTTCTGGTGATTCGGATTAGGGAATTTGTTAATCAAAATTTGTTAGGTATTGTTTACCTGTTGGGCAATTGTATCGCAATTTTGGTAATGGGATCAAGTTAGATGATGAATATGTTTTTGCCTAGATCCACAGCTTCGGTGAGATTGTTGTATTTGTGGATTGCGTTGTCTTCTGTTCCTGTATTGTGGTCTCATATCCACGATGTGGTCAAGTTCAGACATGTATTTTTCTAAATAATTTTCCAAGTTTTTACTTTTATATGATTATTCATTGAGCTTTATATATATAACCAAATACTACTTTTGGATCAAGAGCAGCTAAAACAGCTATGCCTAAAAACCATAGCAATATCAAATAAACACAATTTGAATGTGTTTGTATTTGTGGTAGGTCTGAATATTTAGAGTTCGGCAATCAAAACCAAAAGAATATTCAACCACCACTTGTTCGAGGGGTTATTGAAAGTAATTTTTTCTGGCTTTTGCAATTTGGGCCATAGGTTGAACTTTTTGGATATGTAAAAAGCTATGAAAAGTTACCGAAGCACCTTTCTCTCTTTCTATTCTTGTTCATGTTTTTTTCACATTCATTTCTCATTCAAATCACTCTAATTCTAATTGCAACAATTCTAACAATGTAATCATCATTATTACTGCACAAGCCACAAATTAATGACCATCGTGATGTCTCTTTCTTATTTACTTCTTATTGATTATTTTTTAACAATAAAAAAGGAAGAATAAGGACATCTTTCATTAATGCAATTAACAACCTCAAAATAGAAATCAAAATCCTGCTTCTTCCAAATATCAAAGCTGTATAGCTTTTTCGCATTAATTTTCATTCCTTGCTTCTAACCCTAAATCTGTTTATTTTTTTTTATAAATCATTATTTTTTGCCCTGGTCTTATTACTCATTATTTTCAAATTCATATCTTATGTATGCATGTATCTTGAGTTATTAATATTTTGACTAATAAGATATTAAACTAACTGAGGCCAAAAAAATGGTCCTCGTTGCACTATCAGCCTATAATAGTTTTCAAGTCACTAAAAAGAATATCCTGTAGTTTTTTGCTTATGAATTCTAATAAATAAACAAATATTGATTAAACTAGTATTTTCCTCTACTAATTATAAAATCCCTAGATAATTGATGAAACAGAACTAATTATAATTACTATAAATGATACCATATCTTATACCTGCATGTATCTTGAGTTATTGATGTTTTGACTAATGAGATGTTAAATTAATTGAGACCAAAGGAATAGTACTCGTTGCACTATCAACCAATAATAGTTTTTAAACCACTACAAAAATATTTTGTAGTTTTTTGCTAATGAATTCTAACAAATAAACAAGCATTGATTAAACTAATATTTTCCTCTGCTAATTATAATATCCTCTAATAATTGATGAAACAAAACTAATTACAATTATTGTGGATGATACTAGATATGTATGCTCTTAACACTTTAGATTATTGGGTTAACGTGAAATTTATATTACTTTAAAATGACATTCAATTAGATAATGTTGGAAATTAGTGTGCACTCCCATGAATGACATTTCACCTATCTTTGTTTTGGGTTTCTTGAGGACAAAACACTTTCTAGATTTGAGGTTTCTATATGTAGTTTTAGATGTTGTTTCCCCTGTAAAGAAATAGTAAAGCAATTATGGAGTACTTTATTTGACAAATGTAATCGCATGCTATTTTTTTTAATGGAATACACCAACTTCAACTGCATAATCTTGAAGAATTTCATTATATTGTTGTCTATGGTTATGCAATTTGATGATTGCTGCAAATGTAATTGCATGCTATTTTAGTTTTTTATTTTAGCCCTTGTCAACATTCAATCTGTTATTTATATAGTTATTATTTGTTTTATTTTTATTACATTGTTAATCATTAAACAATTGATGGGTCTTACACCCATGATAAAATTTGTTGGACTAAGGCAATGTTGCGCATGTTTTGTGACATATGCACTAAATCTATTGGGAAAGGCATGGGACCAAACACTCATTTCGATAAAACTGACTGGAAATTTATCTTACAATCATTCAAAGAGCAAACAAGACTTTCATTAACAAAAGCTCGACTTAAAAACAAATGAGATGGGATTAAAAAAGGCTAGAGGGTGTGGAAAAAATTAATAAATAAAACTGAAGTTGGTTGGAGTACTGAATTTGGGACCATCTCGACAACTAACGAATGGTGGAAAAAGAAAATTCAAGTTAGTTTTCTTTATAACTAGTCTCACAAAATTATTTGTATTATTGCATTATTTATTAATCTGCTAGCATTGCTAACTACATCCAACTTTCATTACACAGGAAATGAGAGGAACAATGAAATTCATGCATGTTGGCAAAAAGCCCTTTTTGTGTGCCAAGTACGACATCATATGTAGTAACATAGTGGCAATGAGATAATATGTTTGAACTACCTCACAAGGACTGCTATCAGATGAAGATAATGGGGCTGCTGAAATGAAAAATATAACCAATGAGAAAACTAATATAGAAGAAGAAAGTGGCAACTCTGAAGAGGATGCAATTCCTAATTTCATACATGATGTTAGTAATATAGTTGGTGGAAGCAATGTCACAAAGTAGTAGCAACCACAATAGTGTAAAGAGAAAGGGTGCATCACCTCAATGCCAGAAAAAGAAAAGGGAAACAGGAATGAGACCACAATTATTCACACGCCTGGATTAACTTGTTGAGTTTGTCTTTATGGTCAAAGAAAGAACAACAACTTCTAGAGATAAAAAAAGGATGTAGCATTGAAGATGTAATAGAAGAACTACATTCAATTGATGAAGTTAACTTTGGTAGTGCATTGAATATATTTTCCACTAAATTCGTGAGAAGCAAAAGGGAAATGTGGGCTGCAATGAGTTCTATTGATAGAAAAATATCATGGTTGAAAATAATGTTTGAATAATGAAGAAAACCTTAAATGGACAAGGTTAGATGTTAACTTATTAACCTATTCGTGTCATTTAATTTATGTTGAATACTATAATCCAATAACATTTTCAATTGTCTAAAATGTTTTCCATTATTTTTTTACAGACTTGCTGCAATTTTTGCTAGAAATATATGAAGTTTGCTACTAATTTGTGTATTTCTGTTACCTAGTAGTTGAAACACCATTACCATATTGTTTTCACATTATGTATTACCAAGTATTGTTGGGTTGGAATTTCATGATTACTGAACTTGAGACTTTAAATGTTAGGTTACTTATTAGAAAATTTTGGTTTCATACATGGAAATCAAAATTTGAGTTAGTATTATTGGAATTTGAATGTTTAGATACATAACTTTTAATGTTAGGTTTACGTTATTAAAATCAAAATTTTTAGTTGGTATGAGACTTTGAATGTTTGGTTACTTGCTTTTGAATGATAGGTTTCATATATGAAAACTGAAATTTTGGTTTGTGTGAGACTGTTTTGGAATGTTAGTCACCTAGTATTTTGAATGTTAGTTACATTCTTGTTATTGGTATATAAATAACCAAAATTTCAGAAGGCAAATTTCATTTTATATTGCATCATGTTAAACAAAAAACTGAAATTATTGCATTGATAAAGCAGGTGTGCTAGTTTCTCATTGCTGGTATTTGTCATTGATGATATTTATAATATATATGCTTCATTTCATTTAGTATGATTGTATCATATTACTTTCAATATGATGAACTTTATTATAAACAAAATGCATTATTAGCTTCATAAACATCTTTTCATTCTCATAATTGCAAGTACAATATTTTTTATTTGTAAGGAACAAGTTAATAACAAGTTTATAAAACTGAAATTTCATATTAGTATATAAAAGTTATTTCAATTTAAATATCTGTAAGATAATATAAATGCACGTTTCATAGAATATCTTTAATTTATGTAACAATTACTTTGAATGTATATTCCTACTAAACATAAAAAAATCCTGTCATAATAGTTATGGATTTGCAATGGTTTAAGGTATTTTTTGAAAGAGGTTATGATGATGAAATAAATAATATAGCCGATTACATTAATTTTGATCAGTCTGCTGATAACAATAAAAACTCCAGTGACGATCACAGTTTTGATAATGATGACAACAATGATAATGATTCAAATGAAAAAGGTGAATTGTTTTGAAAAAGGAAGTATGATTGTAAGAAATTGGTTCTATGCACGACAAATGCCCTAACATTATACTATAATACTTATACATGCAAAGAACCTTGTATGAATTTGTACAACACTAGAATGCGATGGTTTATTGATATATTATATAGACATTGTACACGTTGCGTAAACATGTTTAGGATCAAAGTCTTTGCTTTCAACTTGAAAACCAATATGAGTTAAAAAAATTTAAAAGGATGTGTGTTTTTGAAAAAATTAGAATATTTCTTTATACAATAGCATTAGGTGCTTCTAATAGGAAAGTTTGGGAGAGATTTCAACATTCAGAAGAAATTATTAGTAGATACTTTAATAAAGTTCTTAAATCAATTTATTCACTCGCTATAGATTTAATACAACCTACAAATCCTGAGTTTGTAAGCACACCATGTGAAATTCTGAACAATCCAAGGTATATACCTCGTTTCAAGGTAATAAAATTATTGGTATTTACTGATAATGCTTTGAATTAAATAAATTTGTAAATTTTATTTTGTAGTCAGCTAATATTGATATTGGTTCCTGGTTTCTCTTATATTATAATTGTGTAGGAGTTATTGATGGTACACATGTACGCATGTGTTTTTTAAGAAAATCAAATTTTATTTATCGAAAGAAAAGGTGTGCCGACCCAAATTATTATGGTTGCATGTAGCTTCGACATGCAATTCATATTTGTTTGAGCGGACTGGAAAGGTAGTACACACAATACATAAATTTTTCTTGAGGCAATTTACAATCTACATATAAAATTCCTGAAACCACCAGAAGGTACTAACATGTGTGTGTTAATGTTAATTTTCTTTTCACAATTTTCATTTTTATCTCATTATGTGTTTTTACAGGGAAATACTACTTGTTTCTTTTGGAATATCCTAATGAATATGAATATTTAGGTCCATGTAGAGTTCAGAGATATTATTTATAAGAATTTCAGAGACGAGGACAACCATAAACTCATGAAGAAATTTTCAATCATGTGCACTGTTCATTATGTTGTGTGATAGAACGTGCATTTGTAGTTTGAAAAAAGAAGATGGCAGATCTTACAGGATATGTTATAGTTTAATTGCAGGGCGCAAGTTCAATTTGTTGTCGCATCCATGACAATTCATAATTACATTAGAAGAACTTCACTGCAAGATGTGGTATTTATAGAATTTGATTGTCATCCTAATTTTAACCATGATTATTTTTTAACTGATATGGCTTCATATGTACAAGTCCAAATAAACCACAGGACTTCATATATAGATTACATACATGATAAAATTGCATCAGGTTTAATGACACAATTATAAAATATTATTCTTCTATGTTTAGGTCTCTTTTACAATATTTTATTATTGTAAAATTAATTTTCATGTAATTAAAAATTAAAATTATAAATCAAGTCCTTTTAAATAATTATACCATAATATCAAATTGAACTATAATTTTTAACTAAATATTTTTAACATGCTTTTCATTATTATGAAGTTTAACCATACTTAAAATTAAACATGCATTTCAATCTCATCAACCATAATCAAAACTATTTTTAAAAAAAATATTTTATTATATTTTAACCATAAAAACTACTACAAGAAGGAAATCTCCATCCTCCCATTACATGACTGCCCGTGGATGAGGGACTTGCAGGGTACACTGTTAGATGGATGATGCCGGTCCAAACCTCGTCAATATTCACAATTGTCGTGATTATGTGAGGTAGGTTGGAATTATTATTATTATTATTATTATTATTATTGAAGCATAATAAGACAATCAAGCCCCTTTTTTTTTTTATGTCTTAAACTGATTTCAAGTGACAGCTCGTGGTTAAGTAGCATGTTTTTCGTATTTTAAAAATAATTTATATTTTATTTTATTTTTTATTTTTATTTTCAAATTATATTTTTAAATCATTTCAACATGTTAATATTAAAAATAATTTTTAAAAATAAAAAATATTATCATAATTCATTTTCAAATAATTTTTTAAAAAACAACAACTATAATGACACTTCCAAACACCTTTTAAAATTATTTAATTTTAATATTTTTTAATTTAAATTAATTTTTTATAATTTTAAAATATTTTAATATCTAAAAAATAAATTTTTAAAACTAAAAGTAAAAATCAAATCAAGCAAATTAAAACAAACAAATCAAAACGAAGATTAAAAGTCACCTAAAAGGATGTGCAACGATGAAAGAAAGCAAAGGAAACCAGCAACGTCCCATCTATCAACCATGACACAAAGTGAAACCTTTTTATTACCCTCACTCGCCATAGTTATCAAACACAGTTCAGAGATTAACCCAGTCAAGAAATTAGATTCCGGATTTTATAAATCAACCTAAATCAACTAGAAAAATTAAAAAAATATTTAAAATTAATACATCAAAATTACTCCCGCCAAAGCTGAGCTCATGAAGCAATACAAGTGTGCAAGTTGCAGTGGCGAGAGAGCTTGAGGTTTAAAGTTAGATGCAGTGGCAAGAGAGCTGAGGTTTAAAGTTAGATGCAGGAAGTCAAAGATGAACATCATTTAGACTGTTTTTTTCTACAGTTTCCTCTCAAATCACTCCCCTCACTGTATAGAAAGATTCCAATAAGAAAACCACACCACAAACCAAAAACAAACCGCAAAAACAACAGCTCAGACCTACCTGCAACAGCTTGCACACCCTTTGCCATCATTGCTAGCGACATCATCTTGAGAGCCAACCCTTTTGTTCCCACCGACTGTCAAACGACAATTACTCAAATAATCAATAAGTCCCTTCCTTTTTCTGTCTACGAGGACTGCCATACCCCACTGCTCTGCTAATACCGAAACCGCCACAATACATCATCCATGTTCACAGAAAATAAAAAATAACTAGCCTTTGGCTCCTACAACAACCCGCCTCCACACGGCCTGCACAACCAGAGCTTCCTTTTGTGTTTCTTGATTCCCAACAAGAGGGGATTTGATTCGAGGAAAGCCCCAAAGTGTGGGAACATAGTGTAGGTCAACCCGTGTTTCATGGATTCTCTCCCAGAACCAGCCAAAGCTTCCCTTTTCACCAGGCCAAGACAATTGCCACAAAGGCCTGGCCACAACTTCCCTCATCCTCTCTCTGTCATCACCCTGGCCTTTTGGCCAAAACTAGAGAGCCCCTCCTTCTTCACCAGCCGCTTCCATCTCTTGGCCAAACCAGAGCCGCCGCCCACCGACACATTAGTCCAGCCTCAAAGACACCATCTCCAGCTTCCCCCATCTCTGCTAAATCAAGACTCAGCTCTTTCTCCTTCGACCAGCCTCCAGCTGCCCTCTCCCTTCTTCCTCTTCCTTGCTAACAGCAGCTCATTGTAGAGAAGATGAAGAAATAGGAAGGGAGTCCGAAGGACAGAAACCAGATTTGAAAAGAAAAAAATAAAGCACTGGATCATGGCCAGGTCGACCGGGTCAACCCGCCAGGTCAACCGGATTTTTCCAAGCAGTTGCACTGGCCGGTCTTTTAACAAACTCGGACCAGTCCAGCCACCGGGTCCTGGGTCAACCTGCCAGGCCGGTCCAGGTTTAATAACTATGCTTCCAACAGGTTCAAACATGGTCCTGATAGCCTTAGCACAACAAATAGGGAAGGAAATATTGCATGGATTGGAACTACTTAACTATACGACTGGTAGAGACCTAATTAAGTTATCACCTTGGAAAACACAGACGCTTCAAATAGAAGCATCTGCCGAAACAAAGAAATTTCAATGGCATGGACACAATTTCATCAAATGAGTAAGAAATATGCAGACTGCAGTATTCTAAATTCATGGTATCATCCCACTGGAATATATGAATGATTCCAAAAGCATAAATGCCTGACTAATACCAAGCATAACCAACCTGTAGAATCTTAACCAGATTAAGCTATGCATCAAAGGATCCATAAAGACCAGTAGACCGCAATACCATTGCTAGTAATACAACTTGACAGATATCATGAGAAGGTATAGTAACTCGACAACCGCTGCAACATGAGGACAACAGGACTGACTTTCAGACACCCATATTGAGCAAAGCTGGACGACAACTCTGGACCTTCTCAACCCTCAAACATGTCCTAGTACTCACTGGAACAGTAGACAATTGCAAATCAATGGTTGCAGAGAGAAAGATAATTGACAATTAATGAGGTACATAGCAAGAACTACATAGAAAGAGATGACTGGGAGGCGAGGGAGAAAGAAGGAAGAGGCCAAACATCCTTCTCACTAATGATCATTGAATTTGTGAAGAGTACATATGTTATTGATGAGCAAAACAGTTTCAAACAATGAATGGAAATACAATGAAGATGAATCTCATAACAAACCTGATCATCCTCATCAGGTGCCAGCGAAGGGGACTTCTTTGACTCAGCTGGTTTCTCAGCCCCACAATTTTGTCTATTGCACTTTGTCCAGAATGGATAGTTTATGTTGTTGCATTTTTCACACTTCCAGCTTCCCTCTGGCATTTTTTGTTCTGAAAGGCAAGAAGCTCAATTGTATCAATTCAGAATATGAAGCTTACCATGTGCGGGATTTAAAAGGACTTACTGGAATTTTTGTCAGACTTTGCAAACTACAAAGGCTAGAAAACATTGAATATTAGACAACTTACCATTATTAAACAAAAGTATAAACTAGAAATTACCATTACTAGAAAAAACTACAAACTAAACCAATAATTTTGAATTCCCAGTAATTTTCAAGCTTATCCCAAGTTCAGTGTCCCAAATAGTACAAAGACATGAGAAAAAAGAAAGGCCACCAAGCACGAAAATAATTGACTGATTCTTCTATATTTATGAAAAAAGTAGCACAGACCTGGGACCCTGGCTTTGAAGTATTGCACTTCCTCATGTTACAAACAGTTCTAAAAGAAAAGTTGATGTTCCCACATTTCAGGCATGTCCAGTCATTATCACGTGATGCTTCTACAGTGGCGCTATAAGAAGAAAAGATCAAGGTTGGATAACAAAGAAGTTTCTCATACACATCGTATTGATGACAAACCTGAACCCTTCTTCTGAGATATATCATCTGGGAAAAAACCTGGCCTTGGCCCCTGGAAGAAATAGCATGCACTTATGACTCAAGCACATATCCATAAAAGAAGATTGCTGGAATCTAAAAATACATAAATTGCATGCTCTCTTAAAAACATAATGAACTATGAATTTACATTTTGTATTTATTAGGCATATAAATAAAGTGAATGTAACATGCTTAAACACGAACTATCAAGTTATATGAACACATAAAAACAAACTATATAAGCCCCTAAAAATACAAAGAATTGCATATACACAGGAGTATTTTGTGCATTTATGCACACAAATTTTGACATGAAGCATTGCATCTCAGAAACGACTTAAGCATAATGTGAAAATCACTGTTCTAAACCCCTAGTCATGTTTCCAAAATTCCACAACTCAGCGAATTAGTAAGAATAATTACTAACATACCATAGCTGCAGGGCCCATTGGCATACCTAATCCATACCAGTCCATTAGGGGGGGCATTGCATACATCCCACCTGCAGAAAATAAAAAACATTACTTCATAAATGCAACCAAAATTATTTGAAGTACATACATAAATAACCTGCAATAAAGTGCATCTAAATAGAACACTGATTAGAAACAAACAGTGCTTAGAAAGAAAAGACACCGGAAGTTCAATTTATCAAATATAAGGACAGATCATGTACACTATGATACATAAAAACCAGGAAAACAAACAAGGGATCATGAAAGAACCATTGATAACAAAGAGTAAAAAAAAAGTCTATTTATTAAATAGGGAAAATTGAAGAAACAAAAACAAAAACCTAGAGCCTGATGACAGTTTTATTTTTAAAAAGAAAAACACAATAACATACCATTTCCCATCATAGATCCACCAGAATAAGGAGGTGGTCCTGAAATATGCAACGGTCTATATGGAGTGCCACTGGAAAGGCAGCTGCCATAATTGTAATGATAAGCCGAGCCCCCAGTAAATGGAACGTCGTATGGAGGAATAGATGACCCGTTGAAGAGAGAAGAACCATATAGTGGCACACCCATATACATTGAAGAAGGTGCACCAGAACCTAAATAAGGAGCTGATGAATAACCCTGCGGTGCTTGCAGGGGCTTGGCAGCAGATTTCTGGCATCAAGTATATGGATTAGAATCCAACAGAAACAACAGGAAAAGTCAAACACCATAACAAAACAGTGCGTCACGATGAAGACTGAACAAGCATAGATTAATCCTAAGCCACCCTATCTTTTAGCTCAGGTGGCTAATAGTTTTGACACTAACTGCTGGCTCCAGAAAGCCTTGTGTAAGTCTATCATGTTCGGTTCCTGAAATTACCAGTAATTCCACCTAAACCCAATTTCATAACAAGTAAATACCTATCAACACACCAGCAACACTCTATAACAAGTAAAACAGGTCACTGCAATTATGACTCACTGAAATATGATCAGCTGGCCTAGGCTGGGTACAATTACACATGTTACAAGAAGTCCTAAATGAAAAGTTGACATTGCCACAGCTTGGACAATTCCAATCATCCTCCCTGCAACTACCTACACAGCAACGAACACAACTCAATTCCAACTTCATAACCAAAAGCAAAACCAGTTGTCCGAAATAGGCATGAAAATGCAATCATTCTACTCGATGGATATGCCCTATCGCACGTGTTTTCAATTAACATGCATAATGTCGCAAATCTTAAAAAAGTTAAAAGAAACACTTTTCTGAAAGAAAAAATAGTGATTAATAAGAATTCCGCACCATCAGTTCTTACGCGCTTCGCTGCTGATGAATTTCTGTTATCCACCTGAAGAATAAAAAAAATAACAGTCAAAAACCACTGAGCATATCAGATTGAAAAAAAATTACAAAATTCTATACGGCAATTCTCAATTTAAATGGAATCCAACTCGATATATCTTATATCTTATACTGTAAATCCAATTTCTCAAAATTAAGTAATCTTTCGAAAAATTGCAATTTACGAAAACAATAACAAAAAAATTACATCCATTGGATTGGAGTTCAGCGCAGAAACAAAAATTAGAGAAACAAAAAACAACCAGTAATCTTTCAGTTGACGCGTAAGCAATCGAGAGAAACAAAAAAGAAAAAAGAAAAGAAAAGAAAAGAAGAACCTGAGACATGGCGTGGTAATTGGGTCTTTAGGTTTTTTTCGAGTTTGGAGAGGCTGAAACAAGAGACTGCTTTATTCTGCCCTCCTGTAGAAACTAGAAGGCAAGACAAGACGTGGGTGTTATGCGCGAGGGGAAATTTTTCTTCTGTTAAATTAAATTAAATTTAAAAGAAGAAATCCTTGGCATTTCACAATTTAAGTGAAAAAAATAATTATTTTACTTTTCTTTATTCGGGTAATATCCTCTTCTACACATAATTTATTAGTCATTATAATAATAATATTTAATTATTATTTCAAAATAAAAAAAATAAAATAGTGAAAACATTGAAGTCAGTGGCGAAGCCACAATGGGATTAAGAGGGGCAATTTCCCCTTAATTTTTTTTAAAAATGTTTTTCATATTAAAATTTTAATATAATAATTTAACAAGTTATATTTTTTTTATACTTTTTTAAGAACATTTAAACTATTAATTGATTAAGTAAGTAACCTTTTATGCTTTATACTTAATGTTTTAGGTGAATTCCATTTATTTTTTTATTTATTTTATTCTTTAATTTTAGTTTTGTTCCTTAATAATATGATAATTTATAAGTCTGTTAAATTAATATGTTTATGCATAATATTATATGCATGTGAATATGAATTAAAATAAGTTTTGATGAATTAATATGTATTTTATTTGAAAAATAATGATAATTAACGTAACAATGATTAAAAATGAAATACTAAACAACTAAAAAAATTAAAGATATAATAAAAAACTATATTAATATTTATATTTAATTCACTTATATTAAATAATAAATTAATAAAGAATTATTGCTAATAATTTCATTGTATAATAATTATAGTTATAAAACCATAATTGGTTTGACGGGTTGACTTAAATCAGGTCGACCCAAAGCCTAAACTAGTTCGAGTTTAAAAAAAAATAAAAAAAATAATTGATTCCACTTGAATTTATTAAAAACCCAAGTACAGTTAAGATAAATCACGGGTTAAAAATTCGTTAATTTTATAAAAAAAAAATTATTAAAAAAGATTGTTTTATTAAATTTTTTAAAAAATAAATTAGGTTAATTTGGTTGACACTCTTGATCCTTAACTCAACCCCTATCTTAGATCGGCTTTAAAACTAGGCTTTAAAACTATTATAATAATCATTTTATATATATGTTGACTTAAATTAACCTGGTTTGACTCACCCAACCTATAACCTAAGTCTTGGCTTAATCAACCCCCAAGTTGAGTTTTAAAAATATGATAACAAAAAATTTTATTATTACATTTACCCGAGTCAACTCTGATTAATTCTCCCGATCTATGACTCGAGTCTTATCTTTGGTTGACTACTGAACCTGATTTTGAAAATGTGATAACAAACATTTTTATTTTTCTGTTGACTCTTTGAATACATGAGCAAGAGTTTGTCTTGGGTTAACTCTTGAATTGATTTTAAAACTATAGTAATAATTATTTTTATTATCATGTTAACATGGGTCAATAATCAACTCCACACGTGACCCGACCTTGCATTGAATTAACTCTCGAGTTGAATTTTTAAATTATAATAACAATTATTTTTATTTTTATATTGACTTAGATCAACTTGAGTTTACTCAAACCGTGACCCAAGCTTTAACTTGGATCAACCTTTAAGCTGGGTTTTGAAATTGCCATAATAATTATTTTTATTATTACAATTCTTAGTTTAACAATTATAGAATTGAGAATTTTTTTATGATGATACTTTAAAAATAAAAAATAATATATATTGTCTCTTAAAACATATATTCTCCATGTCTTATTTAAAAACAAATATAAAAATTTACTTTAAAATTGTATTAGAGACAATTTTATTTTTATATCTTAATCTTTATTTTTATCTTCTTAACCCGATATAATTTTATTTTTATTGTTCTCATCTTTTCTATTCCAATATAATAATCAAATGCTACCTATCAAATTAAATGAGACAAATCAATCTTTTCAGGTTGTTTCCATGTTAAAATTACATGATTATTCTTTAAAAAAAAAACCTATTAACTTTTGTTAATGGGCTTCATCATTCTTTCTATTTAAGCATGATAAAATTATTATATTACTCTTAAAAATAAAAACTATTAAGCTTAACTTTAAGGGCTTTTAGTATTTTTCACCTATTTTTTTTATAATTAAGCTGATATAATTTAGTATTTTAATAAATATAAAATATTATTTAAAAATAAAAAATAATTGGTCTATAAAATGCAAGTGTTAGTACACAGGGGAGATGATCATGCTACTTGAGTTGTGTATAAGGCTTTTTCCACTAGTATAACAATGGTTTTTTGGGCGACATTTGAATCCCCCTGATAGAATCTCTAGTCATGGGCAACATATATAGCTAATGAATCTACACTTTGGTGCTGGTGTTATTTTTTTTTCATTTTTTTTTTCTCTCTTCACCTTGTTTCTTTTTTTGAGCCTCCAGTTTTCGAAAACAACGCTTCAAATTATTTTCAATTAAATTTAATTTATATATTTTTAATTATTATTTATTTTATTTAGAATAATTTATAAAATTAATTTTTTTCATTTTTCAATTCATCAATCATATTTTAATTCTTCAATTTATAAAATAATTTATAAAATATTTTTTAGTTATATATGGATGATGGAAATAATAATATTTTAAATATTTTCAGAATCCACCAATCTCTATGTTTAAGAAATAAATCATCTTCCAAGGCTTGAAATTGAAAAAAAAGTTAAAGGAGGAAGTAAGCATTCTTAATTATCGAATTTATTCCTTAAATCATATTAAACATTAACATTAGATTGTTTCATAATGCATCATTATAAGTAAAATCATTTAACTATTCTATAATCTATTATTATGTTGTTTTAATTTGGATTACTAATAAGAAAATAGCTTAGTATCTAAAATTACAAAAACTCCCTTTTTTTTTATCTAAAATAACTTTAGTATTTTCAAAATCACCCCATTAACATCTTTGTTCTCTCAAGAAGAAGCTTCAATTCTATCTTCACATATCCTTATCATGGATTAGTTACTGGCTTTTTGATTTATCTTTACAGTCTGTTTGGAAGTGTAGTTGCTGTTACTTTTTAAATAGTTTTTCATGTTAAAATGCATGCTAATAATTTTTTTTATTTTTTAAAAATTATATTTGACATTAGCATATCAAAATGATTTGAAAATACTAAAAACATATTAATTTGAAGTTAATAAAAAATAAAATAAAATTTAATTTTTTTCAAAAACACTTTTGAAACGCAAAAACAAACAAGGAGAGCCACTAGTGGTGTGAACACTTTAAGTTTTCTTTGATACTATAATTGCTATTATGGTTATGATTTGAAAAAAGTTATTTTGTAAAAAGTATTTTTAATTAAGATTGGGTTGAAAAAATATATATTTAGTTAAAACTGTGGTTAAAATTGAGATTAAATAAAAAATAATTTAATTTAATGTGTTTGGTTACGAATACTTTTGAAATTAAGGTTATATATATTGATGGGTTTTAATTTAAATATTATAGATTTAACTATTGTTATTATATTATGAAATAGATAATACTTTATATAAAATATTTTTTATTACTCCATTCAACTATCAACAATTTCATCACGTCTAAAATACATCTGATAATTTTCTTGATTTTTTAAACGCACAACAACATAACTTGTAAAATATAATCAAGAACAAAATTAGAATTGCAACAAATTCTGTAAATATTACATCATCAAGCGAATAAAACACAATAAAAAAATAATTTTTTTATTTTACTGGGTTGGACCTGGTTCAATGCATTTTACTTGTTGGATCGGATTCGGTTCGACCGGAACAATGCAGCTATGCTCCACTGTAGCAGCCATACTGCTGCTACATTGTTCACATTTTTTATCAACACAAGAAAGTAACAATTTGCTGCTTTTCTTCTTCCTGCATTTCATATACAATTTATTGTGGGATCCATGCACAGTAAATTGTTTTTTTTCTTAATCAAATATTTACGAGTTGTGGTTTGCTTTAAAAGTAACTGCAGATGCAATATCAAACGAGCTTTTAAAAATATATTTTATTTTAAAAAAATAATAAAAAGGTCATGTTTATTTTATAAAAGTAGTTTTTTAAAAATTATTTTTTAGATTTTCTTGTATTTATTTGCTTTTAAAAAAGTTGGTTAATAGAAAATGTTAGTTAAAGGAAAATTTAGCATGATTTTCAGGAAAATATTTTTCTTTTATTTTAGATTTAAAATACTTAGTAGAAATTGTGAAAAAATAAAATAAAAATACCTTGTTATTTATTAAGTATATTAGATTTGGTTATTGATCTTTTGATTTCTATATATTTTATTTTTGAATCTTTTTTTTTTCAATTTCACCTCTTAGGATTTTATTTAATTTGAAAATATCAACTTTATTTTTTATATTCTTTTAATTATTATTTGTTTTTCTCTTATCATTTACTTAATTGAATTTTTTTTATCATATTTAATTTTAATTATTTTGATTGTTATTTATTTTATTTGAAATAATTTATGAAATTATATTTTTTTAATTTCATTTTTTTCAACTTTTTTATCTATCAGATTTGATCTTTATTATTTTTATTTTTATTTATTTTATTCTACTTAATTTATAAAATTAGACATTTTTCAATTTTATCCTCCACCTTTTTATTTATAAAATTTGATCCTTATTCTTTTAATAAATTTAAAAATATTAAAAATTTATTTTTTATGAAATAGTTAAATATTGAAAAATATTTTCTAACTTATTTTCTATGATTCTACCAAAAATAAAAAAATAATTTACTTTCTATATAAACTATTTTCCATAAACAAAACTATTTTTCAACAAAATAACAAAGCTCAAGTGCTTTTAGATGTTTTTACGATATATTGATGTTTGAAATAAAAAGATTTTAAAAATTATTTTAATATATTTTTAAATAAAAATTACCTTCTTAAAAAAATCTTTACCGATAACAACCTTAAACATCATGAGGAGTAATCAAGACAATTTCGCTATTCGGACATTCATGTGGCCCGGGGGGGTGAATTGCGATCTTTTGTTAGGTCTAACAGAAGATTATTTAGGATTTAACCGTACTGCTTCTATGATCCTTTGTACTTGATTCTTTTTTATTT